AATCGTGTTTGAAAAGACGATGGTGATATAAAACCGCCGTGTATGAGTAACTTAAACAACTAAAAGATGGAGATTCCAATGGATGTTTTTAAAAAATGACGCATCAAATTAAAAAAGCGTCGTCTTATTGAAAAGGTTTTCTTCATAGTTAAACTCTGAGCCCAAAAACAACGGCAGAAGCTATGAAACCACCGACGTAGAAAGTAAAGACAACGATGTGCAAAAATAGCCGCCGTTTTTACTCCTTAATAAACACGACCATATTTTCGTAGTCGGCATCGTATAATTTCAAAAGAATCCACGTCGATATATTACAAAATACCACCGTATTAAATTAATGTACAACGACGGTAAAGATAAATTTATCAACTTATTATTTTGTAGTGTACTACAACGGTATCTATAACACTACTCTCCGCATAAGTTTGTAGTAACCACGTCAGTTTGTTCAATTAACGACGTATAATAACATTTTACCACGTTCTGAAGTTAAAAGTACCGTCGTATTTATTCATTGTATATGTATGTCCTTATCTGTAAACTGTCATCTTAATTTTTATTGCTTTTTAAGATTTATTCCTTGGATTTTTGTAGCCTACGACGGTAGATCAACATAATGACAAGAATTGGGAAAAACCACGACGGTTTATATAAAAAACCGTCGTCATAAGCAAATTAAAATGAGAGACAACTGACATGTAATACTCTTTAAACTTCTATTGGTTTGTGTGTGCGTCGTCTTTTATTTTTTAGACCTCGGTGTCTTTGTTTGTTTAACGTAGTATAAGTTAACCACGACGGTTTTCTAGGTTATCCAAGTCTTTTTTCCTTCAATTAGGGACATGGATAATTATTTGTATGTCAGTTCTTCTTTTGATCTTGACATGTAACAGTCTTTAGACGTCTTAGTTTTCATAAAACCGTCGTCTAATGTTGTCAAAGATTTCATTTTAGGCTAAATATTAGTAATTACACATCGGTTCGTAATAGTTTTGGACGTTGAATGTGTTAACGACGTCGGTTAATAGCCGTCGTTGTTTTATGTACAAAAGATGGCGGTCGATTTCACGACGGTTTGAAAACCTTCTAGACGATGGTGGTTTCCTATTGTATATTTCGATTTTTGTAGTAGTGATTCAAGCTTCACCAACTTTGGTGGAATTCATAGGGTTGAAAGCACACACCAAGGGTAACTCCTCCTTCCAATCTTCTTAGAAGTTGTTCTAGGAAAATAGCACAACTATCACTTGGCTTAAAAGATTCATGGGAAAAGTTTTTGTTTTTGAACTCATACCATGATTTTATTTATTTATGTTGATGTTAAAATGAAACTCATGATTTTCTAAAGGTTTCCTTTAGATTCTACATTGTCTTTGAAGGAGATTGTTGCAAATCACCTAATTGTTCTTTAGCAATGTTTTTGTTTTCGCTCTTATGCACATGTAGATAGCTAGAAATCATATTTTCTCAAAATCTGTTACGGATGTGGCCGTGACGGTGCTTCTTTAGGTTGTGGTGGTAGGGTTCGTTTTGGCTCATGAGTTGTTTAAGGGTTAAAGTTGGGTTTGTGGGCTTTATTTGGGTTTATGGTTAATTGAGGTAATGTGAGCTAGTAGTTTTAGTGCGGCTTTTGTCTATGTTAGTTTTACTTTTAGTATGTTAGTTTGTTGGCCTCTTGAGATTGGTACTTTAGATGTCTTGTTGATGTATTTGATTGTACTGTTGAAGTTTATCTAATGAAGTTTCTTTTTGATAAAATGTTGAATTTTGCAAGGAAAAATGGACCTAATTAATTTACTTCTTGTATATTAACTTGGAGCTAATTAAATTTGAAAAATAAATTCACCAATGATTGTTTTAGACGATGTTTCATTCAATTTGGAATTAAATTAAATGTTTTATGAATTTCCAAAGCTAAGAGTGTTCTTATGTAAATTTCTAGAATTTTACAGCATGTTGAAATTTAAGTCAATATTGGGATACCATTTGAACTCCGGAATGCATGAAATTTTGAGACATGCTATTTTCACATGTCTTCTTCAAACCTAGAACTTTTCGTAGGCATTGGTTAAAGGATCAATTTTTTGGTGTATTTACGATTTTCTTTTATTGGAAAAAAAAGGCATTGTGTTTTTATAACTTTTGGGTTAAGAGTTTTATGTGATATTTGTTGTCATAAAAAGTTGGAGAAACAAAGTTTCAGTAATTCAATAATGATCATTTTATTTTCCAATGCCCTTTAGTTCAAACCAAGGTGTAAAATATCGATGGTATCGAAAATATCGGTAGTCCAAAAACACGAAAATTTTGATGAAAATATCGAAATATTATCGATATCAATAAAAAATGAATAAAAACCACGGAAATTGTAAGAAAAACTCGGAAATTTTTATTGAAACTTTGGAGGATTTTTTTTAGTCAATTATCTATTAGTTTATTACAAAAAATTGGAAGAAAATTCATTGCATGATGGGTTTAACTAATTTAAGTTGATTATATAGCGAGCTGACAAACATTGTGAGTGTAGAAAAATGTAGTAATTAATGAAAGAAGATTAAACACACCATAATCATTTATATATAATGATTTACTACAATATTTTACACTTTATACATTACATGGTAAGATACATGAGTGACTATGAGGTTCAAAATTTTTAGTATCTTCATCATCTCTACGTGTAGAGTAAGTGTATTGTGAGTAGTCATCAAATGATAAATCTTTGAAATAGTTTTCCATGTAATTGTTAACATGCCACTTATATGGATTAGAGATTGGTTAACATTGTCCATAAGCAAAATCATTTGAAGATTGAGTCTCAAATTCTTTTTATGAGCCCTTTGATTCTATCCCAAAAGGAAAGGTTAAAGACTCACATTCTCATGTGAAAATCTAATTCTTGCAAAAATAGTTCAAAACAATATAAATATACATATTTTAGCATATTATAACAAAAACATAAGCAACATGGTGGTTAAGGCATTGGAGGAGTGAAATGGTAAGGGTTTGAATCCCCTTTGGGTATGTGCTTTGTGTGTGTGTGTGTGTTTTTTTTTTTTTTTTTTTTTTTTCATCGATTTTTTAATATTTTCGATATTATAGCGATATTATAACAATATTTTGACAAAATATTGCTGAAGCGTGAGCGAAATTATTGACATCGATATTTTCCGATATTATCAATTTTATACGATACGTGTATGGATACATTCCGAAATATCCATGACCCGAAAAGACGATAATATCCTCAATATTATTGATATTTTAGACTATGGTTCAACTATAGTTTCAGGTCGACTGAGAGATTAACAAGGGCACATAATCAAATCACCTATCTAGCACCGATGCAGAGTTGCAACTTGCAGGGGTATGTATACGGTATACCTATATCAGATACAACAATTGATATAATCGTTGACTTTCCTGATATGTTGACCACACGATGAAGGGATGGGATCAAGATACGGTGATGGGTTATTTTGTGGTTTTTCTTGAAAATTATAGAAAAATCGGGGTTAAAATGTAAATTTGGAAAGTGGATTTAATGACCCAGCCTCTTCTTCTCGACAGACGCGTCTGTAATCAAACGGCGGCAGCAAAACACGAGGAAGAAGGAAGAAGGAAGAAGTGGAAAGAAGAAGAAAGAAGAGGGAAGAAGAAGAAAAGGAGGAACCGTCTGCATCTGCTGCTCGCCAGGTTTTTTTCTTTCTCTTTTAATGTTTTAGCTGCATGAGTCCAACCAAATTCTGGAAGTCTTCAACCCTATCTATTGAAGAGTAGCAGACGTGGGTTAGGCCATTTGGCCAGGGCAATGGGCTCACCCCTTGCACCCAAGTTCAAATCCCCATTCCCGTAGATTAGATTAATTAGACTATTGCTTGTATTAAAAAAAAATAAAAAATTAGGGAATATCTCATAGACTTCAATTGTCCCATATTTCTGAAATGCAAATATTGGACACAATCAATTCAGGGAGAAGCTTCTCACCCACTGTAGATCTTCATTGTTGTCCTAGTTTTGGCCCAAAAGCTCCTTCTTCCGGAGCGTCCTTTGTGCTCAATTTTGAAGACAAACCCATAATAGGCCAATCATAGCTCAACCAGCACAACATTACCCTGTGCTCTTCACTAAAGCTTTCCTCCTCTTCTTATTCTTCTTCCACTCTGTTCTTAGGGTTTAATCCTTGTTGTCCTTTCTCTTGTACCAAGTGATTTCAATTCTTTCAATTTCGTAGTTTAAGGTTTAATTTCTGCCTCAGGTACTACAATTATATACCACTAACTTATATTTTCTTATTGTGGGTTTGGTAATGTTTATTTCTGGGGCACCCAAATACAGGCATAGCCGCATACTAGACTTGGTGTGTTAAGAGCTTCCTAGTTTAGTTTATAATCTCTATTTCTTTCTTTTTTTTTTTTTTTTTTTTTTTTTTTTTATTTTTTTGATGTTTTGTTGAGTTGTGTGTGTTGAGATATTCAGAGTCACTGGTAAGCTAGCCGTGTTACTGACTTGTTGGTCTGTTCTTTTTATGTTTCTTATTGTGGGTCTGTTCTTTTTATGTTTAATTTGGTTCTGTTGAGAAATGTTGGTATAATTTCTGGTTGTGTTGCTGGTTAGTTTAAGATTGAATGAAATTTGGTTAATTAAGTTTTGTGTTGCATAGATGCCGGTTAGTATATAAAGTGACTATACTGATAAGGTTGCTTGTGTTGTTGGTTTGTTTGTTGTGTATTGAAAATCTGAAAGTTCTGTTACAGATTGTGTATGGCTCTTAGATTTGGTCAACTGAAAGCTGTGTTGCTGCAAAAAAAATTATATCTGGTTATTACATTTATCTGTAGAACTTAAGGTGTGAAAGTGTTATATATATTCATTAAAGTTTAGTTAATGAATAAAGTTCTTTTTTTTTCTGGTACAGAAATAAAAAGTTAAATTTGTTTGGGAGACTTGGCCCACCTTAAATTTCATCCAGGCTCTGCTCTGAAGCAGAATAGAGGGCCATGGTGAGGAAGAGGCCGAACATATTGGTGACGGGCACACCAGGAACTGGGAAGACAACAACTTCGTCCGCCTTAGCGGAGGCGACGCAGCTCCGCCACATCAATGTGGGTGATTTGGTGAAGGCCAAGAATCTCCATGATGGCTGGGATGATGAGCTAGACTGTTACATCATCAACGAAGACCTGGTATGCGATGAGCTTGAGGAAACAATGGAAGAAGGAGGTAACATAGTGGACTACCATGGTTGCGATTTCTTCCCTGAGAGATGGTTTGATCTTGTGGTTGTGCTCCAAACTGACAACACTGTCTTGTATGATCGCTTGACTCGAAGGTAATTTTCCTCAGAACTGCTTTTTCTCCAGTGTTGCTTCCTTGAGAGTCAAAAAATGAAAACCTATGTTTATGGGTTTGTGTGTTTTTGGACTGTGGCAGAGGGTATTCAGAGTCAAAGCTCTCCAACAATATTGAATGTGAAATATTTCAAACTCTGCTTGAGGAGGCAAAGGAGAGCTACCCACAAGATATCGTTCTTCCCTTAAAGAGCAATAGCATTCAAGACATTTCGACTAATCTTTCTACTTTGACAGAATGGATCAGGAGGTGGCAACCATCAACTTAGTTTCGCATGATACAGTTTTGCTTGAAGGTGCTTGTTGGTTAAGTTGGGACAAGCTTTTGAGATGAATTTTTCATGTATCATTATGACATTTGTATTCACTCTCATCAGTTTTACAATTATGTGATTTGAATCTCTCTTGAATTGAAATTGTTCATACAAGGGGGTTTGATAAAATGAATTTGTATTGAGGGGCGTTCATAATGACTATGCAGCATGCAAATTGGCGTGAGTTTTGGTCTTGTTCGGAGGAGAATGAAATCTATATATAATTGTCCTCGATGTTATAAATCCATACATTATGGGTTTATAGGTTATGGATGCCCACAATAATAGCCCTTATTAACCTATCATAATACCCATCATTATGTACGTGTAACCTACAGATTATGACACCTACCGATTATGGTTGGTAAATGATTTAGGCCTCTGTACCCCTATAAATAGTGTATCCAAATATGAATGGAATAAAAGTTGATTTGAGAAAATTATGTTGCCTCTTTCTTCCTCATATTTCTCCTTACTAATTCCCTAGTTTTACAACATGTTATCAGCACGAAGGCTCTTGGCATGGAAAACAATCATGGATGTTCTCGTTTTGGGAGAAATGACGAAGATATTTGTCTTGCGGATAGTGCAACTACGCACACAATTCTTCGAGATAAAAAATATTTTGATAATTTACATTTATCAAAAGCAAAGGTAACTACCATACTAGGTTTTGCAAACCTAATTGACGGCTCTGGAAGAGCTCAAATTTCGTTACCCAATGGGACTCAATTCACCATTGATAATGCTTTGTATTCTTTGAGATCGAGAAGAAATTTACTTAGCTTTAAAGACATTCGAATGAATGGATACCATATTGAAACTAGAAAGGATCACAATGTGGAGTATCTTTGCATTACCACCAATATCAACAGCCAGAGGTGTATATTGGAAACACTTCCTGCTTTCTCTTCTGGGTTGTATGATACAACCATCAAAGCAGTTGAAGTCCATGCTATCATGAACCTGAAGTTCATTGACCCAAAGACTTTCATGCTTTGGCACGATCGTCTTGGGCATCCTGGATCCACAATGATGCGTAGAATTATTTCAAATTCAAATGGACATCCTTTAAAGCCTCACCATAGTACTTTGTCCATTGACCAATCTTGCAAAGCTTGCTCCCAAGGAAAATTGATCATCAGACCATCTCCGTCAAAACTTGGCTTTGAATGTCCATCTTTCTTACAGAGAATTCAAGGGGATATTTGTGGTCGAATTCACCCATCTTGTGGACCATTTCGTTATTTTATGGTTTTAATCGACGCATCTACAAGATGGTCACACGTTTGCCTATTGTCAACTCGCAATGTTGCTTTTGCTAGGTTCCTTGCTCAGATAATTAAATTATGAGCACAATTCCCTGATAATCCAATAAAGTCAATTCGACTTGATAACGCTGGTGAGTTTACCTCCCAAACTTTTGATGCCTATTGCATGTCACTTGGGATTGATGTTGAGCACCCAGTTCCCCACGTCCACACTCAAAATGGATTAGCATAAGCTTTTATCAAGCGTCTCCAGTTCATTGCTCGCACTTTGTTATTGAAGACAAAGTTGCCAACTTCTGCTTGGGGACATGCAATTTTACATGGAGCAACTTTAGTCCGCTTGAGGCCCGTTGCCCAACACCAATTCTCCCCTTTACAACTTGCCTTTGGGAGACAACCCAATATATCACATTTAAGGGTTTTTGGTTGTGTAGTTTATGTGCCAATTGCACCCCCACAACGCACTAAAATGGGTCCTCAACGTCGATTGGGAATATACATTGGTTTTGATTCACCAACTATCATTCGCTATCTCGAACCTATGACAAGAGATACTTTTACAACACGCTTTGTGGATTGTCACTATGATGAGACATTCTTCCCACCGTTAGGGGGAGAAAAGACCGTTCCTGAAGAACGGCGTGACTTAGGTCGGAACATATCCATTATGTCTCATCTTGACCCTCATACAACTCAAAGTGAAAATGAAGTACGAAAGATTGTCCACCTTCAGCAAATTGCTAATCAAATGCCAGATGCATTCACTGACACAGGAAAAGTGACAAAATCACATATACCTGCAGCAAATACACCAGCAAGGATTGATATCCCAATCGGATTAACCAATGTTGCAGCAAATGAATCATCTACTGCACGCCTGAAGCGAGGTAGACCCATTGGTTCGAAGGACTCAGCTACTAGAAAGCGAAAATCAAAAGCATATTACAACCCCAATGAAAACGCTCATGAAGATATTATTGGGAAAGAGATTGACCTTGAACCTACAATTCATCCATAGAGTGAAAGTGTCATTGAAAGGACACAAGCCACTGAAGAGGAAAAGATACCTAATACAGAAATTTCTGTAAATTTCACATGCAATGATGAATTGTGGGACCGTTGTGAAATGGTTATCGATGATATTTTTTCTTTCGCAGTAGCTGCTGAAATTATAAAAGGTCATGAAGATATTGAACCACGATCTGTTGATGAATGCAAAGAGAGGCCTGATTGGCCTAAGTGGAAAGACGCAATCCAAGTTGAGTTAAATTCCTTGGAAAAACGTGGTGTATTTGAACCTGTGGTTCAAACACCGCAAGGTGTAAAACCTGTGGGATATAAATGGGTGTTCACAAGAAAGCGTAATGAGAAAAATGAGATTGCAAGGTATAAGGCACGACTTGTTGCGCAAGGATTTTCTCAAAGGCCTAGGATTGATTATGAAGAAACATATTCTCCTGTTATGGATGCAATTACGTTCCGTTATTTAATAAGTCTTGCAGTTTCAGAAAAACTTGACATGCGTCTTATGGACGTTGTTATTGCATACTTGTATGGGGAGTTAGATGCCAATATTTATATAAAAATCCCAAAAGGACTCAAGTTGGCAGAATCAAACACTAAATCACGGAACATGTACTCCATTAAGTTGAGACGTTCACTATATGGGTTGAAACAATCCAGACGAATGTGGTACAACCGTCTTAGTGAATATTTAATTAAGGAAGGCTACATCAATAATCCCATATGCCCTTGTGTTGTTATAAAGAAATCAAATTTTGGATTTGCAATCGTAGCAGTGTATGTCGACGACATGAACTTAATTGGAACTCCTGAAGAGGTCATTAAAACTGTTGAATATTTAAAGTGTGAATTTGAGATGAAAGACCTTGGAAAAACTAAATATTGTTTGGGCTTGGAGATCGAACATCATCCCAATGGTATTCTTGTCCATCAATCAGCTTACACTGAAAAAATTTTGAAGCGATTTTATATGGATAATGCCCACTCGTTGAGCACTCCAATGGTAGTTCGTTCATTAGACACAAATAAAGATCCATTCCGTCCTAAAGAGGATGATGAAATGATACTTGGTCCAGAAGTACCATATCTTAGTGTGATATGTGCTTTATTATATTTAGCCCAATGTACTAGGCCAGATATTGCATTTTCAGTAAATTTGTTAGCCAGGTATAGCTCAGCTCCAACACGTAGACACTGGAATGGTATAAAGCATATCTTGCGCTACCTTCGTGGAACAACTGATATGGGCCTGTTTTATTCGAACAAACCTTCCAACAGTCCAAATCTTATTGGATATGCGGATTTTGGGTATCTCTCTGATCCACATAAGGGTCGCTCTCAAACTGGTTATGTGTTTACTTGTGGAAATACAGCGATCTCATGGCGATCTAAAAACAAACCTTGGTTGCTACCTCTTCTAATCATGCAGAAATTCTTGCGCTCCATGAGGCCAGTAGAGAATGTGTTTGGTTGAGATCCCTAGTTCAACATATTCATAAAACATGTGATCTTTCTTCAACAACAAAAGCTCCGACAATCATGTATGAAGACAATGCTGCTTGTATAGCTCAAATTAAAGAAGGGTTTATCAAGGGTGACAGAACCAAACATATACCACCAAAGTTCTTCTACCCACATGAGCTTCAGAAGAATCAACAGATTGAAGTCAAACAAATTCGTTCCCAAGATAACCTGGCAAATCTCTTCACCAAAGCTCTTCTGAAGTCTATATTTTAGAAGTTGGTATATGGTATAGGGATGCGACGACTTTACAAGCAATCAGACTGTTCAAGATCAGGGGGAGATATCAATTGAGGAAACTCCTCAGTTTTACTACAGCGGATGTATGTGCAATGTACTCTTTTTTCCTTCGATTAGGTTTTTATCCCATGTGGTTTTTCCTGACAAGGTTTTTAACGAGGCAACATTTAGCACGTCCAACATGATGTCATTGTATGGTGGACATCCAAGGGGGAGTGTTATAAATCCATACATTATGGGTTTATAGGTTATGGATGCCCACTATAATAGCCCCTATTAACCTATCATAATACCCATCATTATGTACGTGTAACCTACCGATTATGACACCTACCGATTATGGTTGGTAAATGATTTAGGCCTCTGTACCCCTATAAATAGTGTATCCAAATATGAATGGAATACAAGTTGATTTGAGCAAATTATATTGCCTCTTTCTTCCTCTTATTTCTCCTTACTAATTCCCTAGTTTTACAACACTCGATGCTTTTTCATACTCTATTTATGAACAGGAAGTACCGTTTGCCAGATACATTGGAGAAACCACGTTAGCGCACACGTTAGAATTCACAAGTATATGCCACTATGTACTGTTTTACAAATCCATAATTATAGCCAAATAAGCAATTAGTATGTCAATAATTTAGAATTTACAATATACACCACTATCATTTACCTATATATATAATATAAAATAATAAAAAAGCAGATAATAGTGAAACATTCAAAATACCAGAAAATGCCCTTGGTTAATTCAAACATTAAGAATTAAAATTATTAATTAAATGAGGATAATATGGTAAATTAACATCTTTTCATATTAAAATTAAAAACAAAATCAGATAATAGGTCCTACTTTTATGGAATATAACTACTCATATTATCTTTTCTTAATTCTAAAAATAAAATAAAAAGGAAAAAAGAAAACCAATTGGCATATGCGTGAGCGTTTGCCAAGGGGCTAATATATAACTGAGAGTTTCTGTTGAGGGATCACTTATTTGAGGGACATCCTTGTAGGACTTACTCCATATTGTATTTCACTATTCCAGTCTTTTTTTTGTAGAAATTCAGTCAAAGATCATTTCTACAAAAAATCACTTGAATTCAATATCATTTGACCATTCAATTAAATTATTGAAATTTCAGTACTTTCTTGAAACACCGTATTCATTGATTTTGTTGGTCTCAATTAGATGCCTTAATGCTTTTCAATTTGTCTGATTTTTTCGCAAGGATAATCTCTTAATGAAGACTTGAAAAGTAGACCATTTGGATTGTTGAAAAGAAATTAGTAGGGAACCATAGAGGATGCCCTTCAAATAAAATAATTTAAGGGATCCCTCAATTGAATGGGACAATATATATACATAACTGTGTTTCATGTAATGGTCTTTTTCTTGGGGTTTCCAAAGCAATTTTTATGGAGTTTTATCTCAATATACTCAAGTGTGAGTATACCTGTTGTGGAGGTGTGTGTTTTTTTTCTTCCTATTTTTGTAACCATTAAGATAGTTACTTTTTTTACTTTAAATATGAGTTTAAAGATCCTGTTGAGGCCCAAAAAATCCAAGGTTTGGCCCAAATATATTTTTAGCCCAATACGACACCTAACTTGGAAAGAAACCCAACTTGGGTACGCAATAGTTCGTCATATACGCTTGCATACTTGCTACGCCAAGCAAATAAGCAACACGCCACGCTACAAGCTTAAGTGGGCCCAAGCCATGCGAATGCCCAAGGCTTGCTTGAGTGGATTGTGCTATGGATGGTAACAACTTGTTTATGAGGCCCATTGATGGGCCAAGAAATGGAAGTCTCGGGGTTGCTTGAGAGCCTCGAAACTCAAGCCCATTTTTTATGCCCAAACATGTGGGTGAGCACAAAAGAGAAAATAGCTCATTACTTCAACCAAAATAGCCCATTAACTCAACCAAAATAGCCCAACACTTGATAAGGTTAGCCCATTTACTTGATAACTCAACTTGTTGTCTTAGAAGGCCCATACAATTAGAATAAGGAACTGCAAAAGCCCTAGCACTTGGCTAGAGAACAAAAGCCACGAAGGGAGCCTGGAGGTCCACATACGTAGAGCTGTTGGGAGGTTCCAGCACATAGGGGGGAACAAGTTTCAAGCAAAAAACATCCAAAGGACCAAGGGGTATTGGCGCGTAGACTGCTAGGAGGGGAGTCACCCTTCGAACCAGCGTGCATACCCATTTCTTTCCCTCATCAGACCTGGCCATGGAAGAAGGAAGGAAAGGAAGGAAGGAGATGGCTGGGAATAGAAGTTCTCCACTGAGGCAGATGCGGGAAGAGCACTGAGCTCCCAAAATCCCTATTTTTGTGCAATTGGGAAGAAACAATTTCATCAAATAGGATAAGTCAAAGGAAGGGAGGAGAAAGGAAGGAAAAAGCTTGGCCAAATTGAATAGAAACCATTAGGGTTTCTTAGAAAAAAGTAGCTTGCAGGGCCTATAAAAAGAGGCATTTCCTACCCATCATCTCAACACACATCTAGAGAGCAAGCTTCATATCTCATCCCTGAAACTCTGCAATTTCAAGCCTCATCCTTCCATCTCTCCCCATTTTCCCTTTTGGTAAACTTTTCCAAAGTTTGACAGAGTTTTCGTCGAGTTGCCAGAAACTACCCATCACACCTACTACTTCATCACTAGCTAAAAACAACTACATTCAGAGAGCAAGCTTCCTCTCTCATCTGCAAAACCCAGCAAATTCGTGCTCTATTCATCCTTTCCCTTCATGAACGCATAGCTTTATCTTCAGTGCTAAACTCATGACAATTTTGCTTCCATGCCACAGCCTCTCATGCCAAGCTAAAAAATCTATCTGTAAGCTGTTGTTATTTTTGTTGGTGAAGGTAACCAAGGTGTTTCCTAAGGCTTCACTATCCTTTCGAAGCATTTTTGGGACTTGATCTTTGAACTTAGACACAGGGGATAATTTCATCAATCTGCTCTTTACGGCAGCCCAGCCCATTTATAGCTGCCGGAAGAAAAAAGCCCCACAGATCCATACCAAATGTATTGTATGAGTTTAATTACCTAGACTAGAGGCAATTTATGGGTATAACTATGTGAACAAGAAATGACTTTTGGGTTTAATTACCTACACAAGAGGTGCATGCATAGGTTCCAATTCTGTCGGGGCAAGAGGCAAGGAGCTTGTAGCTCAAGTGATTAACAACATTCACCTATGTTCCTTTTATTTTCTTTTTGTCATGAGATAGGCCTCATCAACTGTATAACTTTGGGCCTCATCATATGAAAGCCCAAAGCAGTCCCAGCCGAACCGACTTAAAAGTTTTGTTCACACTTTGCCCTCCTCCGGAGTCCATATTACTATTAGAACCCAAGCAATTGTTCAGTTGTTCCTACTCAATTCAATCCTTATTCCTCCTCTTCCAGTTTTTCTTGTTCGCTCTCCCTCTCTCACAGTGAAACAGTTAATCCCGCACTTTCCAGTTGTCACTAAAATCCCAAAAACTCTTACTTCACTCGGTGGGTTGCTCTCAAAGGGCCAAGAAGGTACCTCTTCTTTGTTCTTTCACATTTGAATTTGGTTGCTTTTCTTTTTCATTTTCTCTTCCTTTGTTTATTGCCTTTGTTATCTGGTTATGTAAATAGTAAAGGACAGTTGCAATGGTTATTTATTTGGTTGTGTAAATAATAATATTAGTAATGGGGTCTGTTAAATTATATGGCTCTGTAATTCGTATATTTAGACCCATTTTAATGCATTTTGATGAATTTATTTACATGGGTAATATTCAGTGACATTTGGAAGATGATAATTTAGGATTTTGGAGCTTCATGTGAGATTTTGCAGAGCAACGGAGGATGAGTACCTTTCAGATTACTTCCTCCCAACCTAGCATCTGTTTCAGAAACACGTCTCAAGCTCTCCGTCCATCTCCAAAGCTTCTTCTTCTTCCAACTTGTTTGCAACCAACCAATAATGCATCCATTCGGCAACAACGGATGCCGGTTTTGAAGGCCCAGCAATGCAGGGTTTCATCCAAGTACCATCGATCTGCACCTGTCTGCTTGTTAGGTGGCAAGGGAAAGAGTGAAAGTGGTGATGAGGTGGGAGGCCTTTATTGGGCTATGGGAACTCAAAGAGTTTAAATTGAAGGTTTCAAGAAATCGCTACATGGTTGTATGTGTAATGACAACAAAAGAGTCCTACATTTTTCTCTCATGTTTTCCTTGTCATAATTGCAATCTTTCTTCGTGGCATGTGAGATGATGCTTTATATGCTTACGATTATTTATTATGTAATGAAGGGCATTGAGGGGATGAATATTTTGTTTATGAGATATATGTATGCTCATTAATTACTGCAAGTTTCTTTGTCATCATGCAATGCATGCGTTGTATATTCTCACCACACTTCTTAATGCAACCAGGGTTCCCCTTGGAAAGCTCTTGAGAAAGCAATGGGTAATTTGAAGAAGGACCAGTCGATAGAGGATGTATTACGTCAGCAGATTGAAAAGAATGAATTTTATGAAGAGAGAGGAGGTGGTGGTGGTGGTGGTGGCAGTGGCAGAGGCAGTGGCGGTGATGGTGCAGGTGGTTCTGAATCAGAGGATGAAGGCCTTGCTGGAATCATGGATGAAACACTGCAAGTGATTCTCGCAACCATTGGATTTATTTTTCTGGTAATAATCCTAAATTAACATTTGGATTTATTTCATATGAGATATTTTTATAATTTAGGCACCTATATAGGGTATAATAATGAATCTCCCTTTAAACTATATTGACTAATTTGGTTTACTTTTATTGCGGTTTTTATTTTTTGTAACTTAGCCTAAAACGAATCTAGATAAAGATGCATTTTGAAGTTTGATGAAATTTCGAAGTTCTTGATCTCGAGTTAAACTATATTAGTTATTAAACTTTAAAGTTTGTTGACATGTTGGATTTTAGGATGATTGCTATAAAATGAAAAATATGTAGCAAGTTAAGGATTTTTATTGTTGTAATTGGGCTACTTGGTTGTATTTGCTCTCAGGGAAATACAAAAAGGCTTGCAGCACATTCCTGTGCAGTATAATTGGTTGGCAGCAATGGGATAACAAACAATCCATCACTTTGCTTAATATGTTACCACATCATGATGAAAACAAGCTCTTTTCACTTTGAAAAGCTCGTTCCTTTCATGGCAGAAGGGAAAGCACACAAAGAAAACAATTTGCAATTAACATTTGGTGCAAAAATAGGATATAAAGATTCTTGACTCACTCTATTCTAATCCTATGTACGGTACAACTTCAAAATTTGATATCAGAGAAATCTTAAATATCCTACATGTCTACGCAACACTCAATTACGAACACGCTTTCTGTTAGTGACATAACGCATACATTTTGATCCCCGTAGTCTATTATATAACCTGACATATCAATTCTCAGTAAACTGGTGCTGGCAATTAATGCACACGTAGAAAGTAGTTGCTCCTTCATCTGCTGATCGCATCTATATAGAAAGATATTAAAGAAAGAAAAGAAGGCAACATAGAAGATAATTAGATGACAGGTCGAATAAGAGGCAGAAGAAGATGATTGGGTGTTTGTAGAATACCTGTCTGGAATAATATGTATGCTCATTGTGGCCACATTTTTCACATGTTTTAGCATCTGTCTGTTAAGAGGAAAAATAGTATAGAAAAATTAAAAGCAGATTCCCAAACAAATACCACACCTTAAATGAAAACTGAAAAGCACAGCTACCTTTTGCAATTGCACTTTTTCTTCACGAATTATTGATATGCCTAGCTCCCTTCTAATATCCTGCAAGGACACATATAGGGTAATGCCTTGGTTTGGTGATACAAACAACTCAATTCAAGCATCACCATCTCTCCCCACCCCGAAAAAGGAAAAATGGGGAAGTGTGTCAGTACACAAACAAAAGCACACATCGATTAAAATTAAAATGATTATGAACTTTCTTCTTAGGCAATAAGATGTATATATGTGTGTGTTGGGAGGGTAGCTTTTGCATAAGTACATAATTAATAATAATATCGACCAAATGCAACCGCTATGAAAGACATAAGAACCGGGGGGGTGGGGGGTTAGCTTTTGCATAAGTACATAATTAATAATAATATCGACCAAATGCAGCCGCTATGAAAGACATAAGAACTTGTCACGAAATATGGTCATACCTCAGCAGTGGCTGTGTAAGATATTTGTCTTCCGGAGATCTCTGAAGACAATGGTAATCATTTTAGAAATATACAAAAGTAAGAAGAGGAAATATTAAGGGTTAATATTTAAGAGTCATTTATAAACCTACGAAAAAAGTACTTATGTCATACATAACAAACTGTCCAAACACCATGAATTTGGCAAATGTTGTACCGCACAAGTTTGTAAACTATGAAGTAATACTTGCAACATAAATGGTACTGCTCAAAAGAATACAAGCCCAATAGCAACACAGGATTAACATCTATAACATTTGGAATATAAACAATTCCAAAAAGTAAATTCAATTTGGAATTAGTTTATATAATTAAAATATAGTAATATACATGTGCTGACATGGGAATACATGCATGCATTCACATGCATTGCTACATACAGAGAGGATTTAGTTATCCATAAATCATCTGAAATAAAATCTAAAACTTGAAAACAGATTAAACATGCAAGTCAACGTGAAAGGCTGAAAGCTCAAGTTTCCTATACCTTTCACACTTATCTTACGCTTGCACAAGGGGCATTGAGCATGCTTAGTTGAACTCAATGTTCGCATAGTCCCGCACAAGTCGCAGAACATGAAATCACGCCCTTCAGAATATGCCATGAAATGCCTCTCCAATAAATCGTTCACCATCGTTGATGAGCCTGCACGTAGACTTTTAACGATTAACAAAGTAATACCCAAACATGTCTAGAGAGGTGCATATGGGAATGAGATTTTTCCAAGAAAATGAATGAGTTCTGTTGAGCATTTCATCAAATAGCTAGTGTGGCACTTAGTTTGTCCTTGTTCCATTCCTAAAAAGGTTTGCCAAATCAAATTCATATATGATAATTTCATTCATATTACCATAAGCCGAACAACGAATTCAACAAACAAACGAGCAGTAACTACTAAAAAGACCAAATCATTATATAACCAACATTACTGGAGTCATAAGTTGAAGAAGAAACTGAAAACAATGATGCCTATGTTAACAGTATTGTTGATGAGATAGAGTAGTCACGTGTTTATCACGTGAGTGTTAGTTAGAATACTTATAGGAGAAGAAAGTTAGTTATATAAAGACGAGCTTAGATTCTCCTTCCATTCAATTAATAATACCCTACGAAAATACAAAAATTTAATGCTTCAATAACAAAAAAATAATAATAATAAATAAGCATTAACATCAATTCAATATTAAACTACCACAAAAAATAACAAATAAAACAAAACAACAAAATTTGATTTTCGGTAATAATGACCACCCCTACAAAATCACTTCTTCTGTCCCAAACAGCAACCAAAAATCAAACAACAACCACAAAAATAAATCAAACAGCAACTGAAAAAACAACCACCAAAAATAAAATATAAGACAGCAACCAAAAATCAAACAGCAAAACAGCAACAGAAAATAACTAATAAAACAGAAACTAAAAATATAGAAAATTACCAGATATGTGCAAATGGAGGGCAGCAAGCAAGCCAATCCTTTCCTTAGCCTTCAACAAATAAATTCTGTCAAGAAAAATCATCACACAACAGTCAGAAAAAATAAATAAATTAACAGAAATTATCAAATCCCAAATTTTTTTAATTAGGGTTTACATAAATTAATACCTGAAACAGAAAAAAAATCGAGAGAGGGAGACTGAGAATGACTCAGAGAGAGCGAAACCGGCTGAGGGAGACGAGCGGCTGAGTGACTAAGAGAGAGTGGCTGAGAAAGCGGTTGAGTGATTGAGAGACAGTGATTTTGTGATTGAGACGAGAGCGGTTGAGTGACTGAGACGAGCGGCTGAGTGACTGAGAGAGCGATTGAGACGAGCGGCTGAGTGACTGAGAGAGAGAGAGAGAGAGAGAGAGAGAGTGAGTAACTGCGAGGAAGCGGCTGAGAGAGAGAGCGGTTGAGGAAAGAGAGAGTGACAGAGAGATCGGGTGAGAAATCTGGGCGAGAGTGATTGAGAATAACCGAGAGTGAGTCTGAGAGGAGAAGAGTCGAGAGTGAGTCTAAGAGGAGGAGGAGACGGAATGGAAAACAAATATCGAAGCCTTTCAAATGTTAGGGTTTCGCTAGATCTAGTGTGGCAAAGAGTAGGAAATGGGTTAAACTCAGCGAATCATCATTTGACACGTGTAATTTTTAATTAAATAATATAATTAAAATATCAGTCAGGTCCGGTTTTTGGCGGTTTGCAGGCAATTAAAACCTGTCCAACCCGGTTCGGGCGGTTTTTTAACCAGTTCTTTGATTTTTTCAGTATACAAACCGAACCAAACCACCTTAGGCGGTCCGGTTCAGTCGGTTCAGTCGGGTTTTCGATAATAATGTCCACCCTTATGTTAAGAGGAACGTTAACTTAGACGATTCAAAATTTAAAAATGCAGTGAGCTGAACTTTTAAGCCTATTTTCACAAGCGAATATGTTCTCTCAAAATTTCTATAGATCAAAGAGTTGTCTACTAAGATGCTAGAATGGGAGTTATAGTGAGAGGGTTCTTATAATGGTAATTTTTCAACCTTGCATGCAAAACCAAGTTGTGGCTACTTCCAAGCTTTTAACTCATAAACTGAAAAATATCTCATCAAACCAAACATTGTTCCATTCACAACCCAAGTCTTTTTCTACCTCAACTTCTAATTTACTTAAAAACTCAACCTCCAATACTCTGATTCCCTGCTTGTCCCCAAATCAGGAGAAACACTTGTGTGCAACGGAGATAACATTGTTTTGCTATTCTCAGCTAATCACGATATGCCACATGTGATAACTTTTCCACTTGGCATAGCGTAATTGGCCGAAGTTAGCAAAACAATGTTATCTCTGTTTCATTTATGTTTTTTGCCACATTAGACACCGAATTAAAGAAAATGCAAAAAAGATAGAGAAATATATACAGTAAAGATGTTGCTTTAGACTATGGTCTCAAATTCAAACCCTTATGGCATCTTGATAGTGTGTGTGAACTCCTCTCTTCTTTGTAATTTAGACTATCACTTGTATTTTTTTTTAAATCATTAAAGAAATTGATACTACATTAGATACCAGTTTCTCATCTAGAGAAACCCATAATTCTTAATTCTAAACAAGAATTTAAAGAAAAAAAAAGCTCAGAAATTAAATTACACGAAAAATCAAAGTAAAAGAAGAAGAAGAAGAAGAAAAAGAAGAGGAAGAAGAAGAATGGAAAGCTATGTCTACGCAAGAGTAGTTTTACCTCATTGTGCCATGGTAAAGGGTAAAGGCAACTAAAGATAAACACTATTCACATGAATAGTGACTACCCTAACAATTTTTTGATGCATTCCCACCCATTGCTATGGCAACCACTATTTACATGAGATATGAGGAGAGGAATTTGTATGGATTTTGGTGTGGGAAGTGACGACCTTGAAGAGTCAGCACCAACCGAATTAACCTGTCAATGAAAATATAGTTTTCTGCCAAAGTTGTTTCCACCAATTGTTGACATACCTGAGGAAGAATAATTGTTTTCTTAAAGCAAGGAAGGCAATGTATATCATTTTGAAAATACCTTAGCTCTGTTTCTAAAGCTTTCAACTCATGTGGAAGGAAATCAACAGTATAGAATTTCTCGACAAGTTTACATATATGCTTAATATTGAATAACTTGAAGGAATTACAAGGATCCAATGATAAGCTAAGGTTAAGAAGTTCAATTGTTTGCTCCGAAAATCTATCATTTAACTCCCTCAACATGCAATCTAAAAATATCATTAAATACATCAAAGCGATAAGCATGCTCGATTGTAATAACATCTTTTTGTCGATAAGAACGACGTGTACCCGTCATATAACTAGCACCCATATCAGGAACATCAACACCATGTAGTTCACAAAATGATACCACACTCGTGAATAAATTATCCCAACCATGTTCCCCCATATCTTGAAGTTGCATTTTTGTGTTTTCAATAAAATTTAAAGCACTTACAATGTCTTGAGTTTTAGTCCGAAATGTTTGACAAAGAAAATTGGTCAATCCTATAATTTTATCCATCAAAACCAATACAAACACGAACTCAAAAGACATCATAAAAATATAGTTACTCTCTGCATCACCGCGAAACTGTTGGTTAGGTCTATGATCATTGATTTCTAGAAGAAGTAATTTAGTCTCTTTAAATAAACTTATCAAACTTGTAATAGAGGCAAAATGAGAGCCCCAATGAGTTGCTCTAGCTCTATCAAAGTACGAGCTTGATGAAATCTTTTACCTGTCTCAAGTTCCCCATAATCCAACAACTCTTTGAGTTCAGTGTTTCGAATTAAGTTTAATTCATTACGGCGCTTAGCAGAAGCACTAACAAAATTCACAGTGTTAGTCAACATTAAAAAAAAATCTCCATACAACTTTCACATCTTTAGCTGCACCATTTAATGCTAATTGCAAGCGATGAGCAAAGTAATGCACATAATATCCATATGTACAATCTTGAAGAAACAATGCTTGTAATCCATTCCATGAACTACGCATATTACTAGCACTGTCATACCCTTGACCACGCGTTTTCTCCACTAGAATGTCGTTATTACCAAGAACTTTGCATATCTTATTTTGAAGATTCAAGGCATTAGTGTCTGCAACACTCACAATATCAAAAAGCGCCCACGAATAAATCTATCACAATAAACAAATCTTAGAATAATAGTAATTTGTTCTTTACCGGATTCATCAACAAGAATACAAAATTTGATCTTCCCAAGTTCTCTACAAATTGTCTTCCTCACCTTGGTAGCAAAAATATGCAAGATTTGTTTTTGTATGTCATTGGATATGTACTGAGCATTTTGAGGAGCCTTATCTAGGATAACTTTCTCAACTTCTATATTCATTCTTGCAAAAGACTTTACTATTTCAATGAAATTGCGCCGATTAGATGAGTTAACGAATTCATCGTGGCCTCGAAAATCCAATGCTTGATTTGCTAGATACCTAATGCTCTCTATTATGGTCCTAAGTCACAATCAATTGTCCATCACTTATTGGTTTGATTGCTTATCTACCACTTTTTCAATATGAATAGATGAGTTTTTTTAAGCTAATCCACTTTTGCATAGCAAGATGATGTGACGAATTTTGCTTGCCTACATTATGTTGAAATTGTTTGGGCCTAATTTGACACACTTAGCCCAACATTGGAGGCCCAGAACTAACAAAGAAAACTTCAAGGCCCGAGCAGTTTGAACTTTGCATCTAAATTAAAATCAAGGGCCCAAAAATCCAAGAAAGCCCAGCCCAGAACCTATCCCACCACGAGGATGACTTGGGCTTCGAAGAAATCCAAATTGGGTTTGGCATGTTTAAAGTAAAGAAAGATGAGCCTGGGAAAGAAACAAACCCACGTGACCTCCTGACTTGAGAAAAGTCAGCCATTTTCAACTGGGATTGATAAGGAGTTAATAAGGGCAGGTATAAAAAGGACATCTCTGAAAACTCTGCCAAACTAGAAGATCAAAATCCCTTTTTTATATATACTCAGAGAAAAATCTACTCCAAAGAAAGGCACTGCTTCCAAGAGATAAGCATACTACATTGTAGAGATAAGTAGGAAGAAGGGAGTTGTTCAAATGGAAAATCAAACTAACCATCACAGTTTGAATTCTTACAAAGTGGTTGAAATTAAAGAAGGGTCAGGTTTCTTTTTCAAGAAATACAGGGAAATGACTGCCTTAGGAACCGACTATGGAAGGCTTGTCTGCCAGAATTGATAAAACCTTTTTTTTTGCGTTTCAAAATAAAAGATCTTTTTCAGAAAATCTGCCGCCCATTTTTAAAAGGATTAGAAATCCTACTCCAACATTTCCTATAAATATGAGAGAGGGTGAATAGAGCAGGACACAAAACAAAAAAAAAAAAAAAAAAAAAAAAAAAACCAAAAAAACCAAAAACAAAAACCAAAATAATCACTTGATCTCTTGAGAACCTTCAAACAAACTGAAGCAACTAAAAGCTCATTTGAACCACAAAAGAAGCCAGCTATAGATCAGAACTTTCAGTTCAGACTTAGAGAAATAAGTCATTCAAACAAGATTTCTCTTGGTACAAATTTGGTTCAGTAGAAGCCTAAACAAGCAGAGTCTGGGTGTTTACAAATATGAAAACCTCAACAAATTTATGGAGAGTCCTAATCAGGCAGAACATGCACCACAGTGTAATTCCAGCTCAGTAATCCTCAAGTCCAGCCACTTCTGCCCCTTTTAGACTGAAGAGGCCGCAATTCTGCCCGTTCATAAAGCCTCCCAGGGATTGAAATAGATTAAAGCTCTACCAAACTCGAACGTTGGTATCGATTTACAGCTGAAACTTAGTAGTTGAAGTTGTTAATAGCTTAGTTCAGCACATGCTTATCCAGTCTAGCCTGGATCAGAAGTTTCTATCCAGGCAGAAATTGTTCACCCCGTTTTGTGATTACTCCTGAGATGGAAGGGCAAAGTTCCCCACTGCCTTGGAAACCATTGATTGGTCAACAAGTAAGCTTTCTTTGGTGTATGAGCGTGCCACTGCTAGCAATGAAGATTCTAGCAGACTTATTCTAGAATAGATAACTTGCGCCCCAAGTTACTGATTTCTATAAACAAACGATTGCGAATTTGGGTGAGGAATATCTCCCAAGTAAGTTCTTTTCTTGCCTCAGACTGGTGAGGACTTTAACAATTATCTCAGTATAAAGAGGTTGTTCTGGCCAGAATGGTTGATGGAATTTAAGCTGTCTTAGGCAGAACTGCCTTTTACAAAACTATAAAAATAAATACCCATGCTAGAAAGATAAAAAGACAGCTGGAACTCCATTTCTGCCTGGATAGGAGGCTCTGATCCGGGCTGGACTAGAAATATCTGCGCTAGAATGAATAGTCAACAACTTCAACTGTTAAGCTTCAGCTGTAAATCGATACCAAAGGTCAATTTTGGCAGAGCTTTAATATACTTCAATCTTTTGTGAGGCTTTTGAGTGGGCAGAACTGCGGTTTCTTCAGTCTGAAAGGGCAGAAATGGCTGTTTTTGAGAACTTCAGTGGGCTAGAGATTGCATTGTGAAATTTGTTGAGGTTTTCATGTTTAGGAAAAGCTCAAGCTCTGCCTGTCTTGGTTTTTTGCTGAACCAAATTTGTAACGAGAGAAATCTCGTTTTAAATGACTTTTTTTTTTCTCTAAGTCTGAACCTTGGGAATTCTTATCTAAAGCTGGTTTTACTTGGAATTCAAGTGAGCTTTTGGTTGATTTTAAGTTGTTGGTAGATAGGTTCTTAATAGGCAATCACTTCCCTATTTTTCTTGAAAGAGAACCTAATATTTTCTTCTAATTTCAACTGCCCCTTGTGAGAGCTAAAAAACCGTGATGGTTAGTCAGATTCTTATTTGAACAACTCCCTGTTTCCTGCTTATCTTTTTGAAATATAGCCTGCGTATTTCTCTTGATAAGATGGTGCCTTCTTTGGAGTGGAGACAATATCCCAGAATATACATAGGAGGGGATTTGATTTTTTTGGATTTTTCAAAGCTGTCTCTTCCTAGTTTTTGCTAGCCACTGACCCTCTTAATTATCTCTACAACGGTTGATTTTGTTGACTTTTCCAAATCTGGGAAGAAAAAGGTGTTTACGTAGGTTCTATCCATTTTTATCCAAATCGTGCTAGGCTCATTTTGTCTAGAGCCCAAAGGTGACATCTCTTTTGAGGCCCAAGTTTGCTTGTCTAGTTTGATCAGTTTTGGGCTAGGCCTTTCTGGACTTTGGGCTTCTGCTCTCGATTTTTCAAAGACCAAACTGTTTGAGTTTTTGTAGCTTTATTCTGGGCTTCTTCTTCGTTGGGCAGGGCGTGCCAGATTAGGCCCAAACAATGCCCCCATTAAGTCTGAAATGTTTTGGAATGGTTTCAGACTTAAATGAATTGGCCATTAAATTGGCACGTGCCAGTCTCTTCCGTTATCCCACGTCTGCCACGTCTTCCCACTGAGCTAGTGTTCATGGGAAATTGCGCTCAGTTACTAGCTCTTTACTGGCTAGTCAATATTAGATGACGCCTTGTCTTCTCCACGTCCCTGTCTTCTCTTTCCCACATTTTTGAGCTTCCTTAAAAGAAATTCAAAACCTACTATTCCTGTTCATCCGAAAACCCAGTATTTCAGACCTTATTCCTTTGAGCTTCTCTTCGACAACTCTATTCCTTGCTAGAACCTGCCTTGCCTTTCCTATCAACTTCCTCTGTTTTTTTTTCAACCTAAAAACAATCCTGAGAAATGTCTTCCAAGAAATCCCGTGCTCAGTCTTCCTCTGTTCCAATTCCTCCAGATTATATTACTGGGATTGGAATTGACAACCACGCGATAGAGGTTAGGAGCAAGCTCCATCCTTTTGCCCAGAAAAACCTAGATGAGAATGTCCTCCATTTGTTCGAGAATACCTTGGTGCTGGGGCCTCACTGGTTTGGTCCTGTTCCTCATGAGATGGCAGAACTGATGAAGAAAGATGCTGAGGCTCCTTTATGTTTTGAGAGCACTTCTGCTCTGGCTTCTCATTCTTGGGTCAGCAAGAATTTGAGCCGGTCTTTCCCATCTAGCGAGGTGAGAAACAGTTCAGTGAAATGGGTAGATTGGATTGACAGACTCCTTCCAAGATATGGACCTCACTAGAAGCGGGTTGGTATTTATGACGCCATACTTCTGTCCAAGTAATCTGTCAATAGAGATGAGAACCTGCTTGCTGCTGCCTTGTGTTTTTGGAATTCTGCCAGTAACACTTTCGAATTTCGCATAGGCCCCATGGCTCCAACTCTGCTGGACATGGCTCAGATTTTCGGGTTCAGGCCCCATGGAAGACCTGTTGATGCTGTTGGTGATTATCACAGGAAGAAGAACCAGCATAAGCTAGCCAAGCCATTCATCATCTCTCCAGCCCTGATCAACCAGAACTGCTCCTTCTCCAATTATCTCAGGAAATTCAGTGTTGAGAAGGACAAGGACCAGCAGCACATGCTGTTCCTTCTGTATTGGCTGAACAGGTTCATTCTGCCCAACCGTTCCTCTGCAGTTCTGCTTGAGTACAGACACCTGGTAGACGCTTTGCACAATCATACTGATGTTGGACTCGGGCCTTCGGTTATGGCTCATCTTTTCAAGAACCTGCATACTGCCACCCTGGAGAATCCGCTGAATTTGTCTGCTCCTGGTGCACTCTGGATGAGCTAGATCTGGCTGCAAGTCTATTTCCCAGAATTGAGGTTCCCAGACATAGTTCTGCCTGAAGACCAAGTTCTGGCTCAGCCTTTGATGTTAGTAGAAGTGCCCAAGCGTTCCATTGAAGAGTACCTGATGTTCTTCAAGCACTGCACGAAGAGATCAGCAGCTCAGTGGCAAGTGGTGATCAGGAGAACCTATCCTTGGTTCCAGCCTGGATACCGTTTGTTTGAGAAGGAGCCGGAAGAAGAAGCAGCCAGAATCGATTTCAAGAAGAAGTTCCTGAGTGTGACCCTTCCAAGAGACCTGCCCCATGGAGGTGGGAAGCCTCCCAATTATCATATAGGGGCAGAAGTGTATCACCCCAACTTTTGTGCAAGGCAGCTTGGCTGTCCACAGCTTATTCCACTCAAATCTTATAGGAGCTGCAATCGGGCTTCTTCTTGGAGGGACTTGGATGACCTGGAGGTGCGCAAGGATGCCAGGTGTGCGGTAAACAAGATCAACAACAATGCAGATGCCCTCTATCCATCCTAGGAGCTCAATTCCTGCAATTCTGCCGATTTTGACGCCTGGTGGAAGGCTCGATTTCGAAATCTACTTGCTTCCAGTACTGCACTGGCAATGATTTTTTATGGCTGGGATGGCTGGGCCGTTCGTACAGAAGAGAAGACTCACAAGTTTATGGTGCAGACCATAAAGGACATCAATGCCCAAGTTCTGGAAGGTAGTGTCTCAATTCTGTCTGTTTTGGAAGGTAGTGTCTAACACTTTGTTCTGTCTGCAACAGATCCGTCTCTAACACAGAACGTTGGTGGTCAGTCTACCCAGGCTGGAGAAGTGTTTGTTAAATTTTCTATCCTTCTGTTCCTTCTACCTTTTCCTGCTGGATTGATTTCTGAAATTGTCATTTCTTGTGCAGTTACTTCTGTAAGAACTGCTAGGGACCTAGAGCTTCCTTCTAGAGAGGAAGAAGAAGAAGAAGAAGATCAAGCAGAACAGACTCTCGTTGAGGCCACTCCTTCTGCCAGAAGGAAAAGAAAGGAAACTGCTCAACCCACAACTTCAGGTGAATTTTGACAGTTCTTGAGCTTTTTCTATTTCTGTTCTGTCCTGTTCTGGCTTATGTTCTAATGGCCCTTTTTCTGTCTATTGCAGCTAAAGGTCCTTCTCCTCCTCCCACTAAGTCAAAAAGGCTTAAAAAGAGGACGGTGGTGGAATATGTGGCCACAGAAGGAACTGCAACAGCTCCCACCGCCACTTCAAACACGGATGAAGAGCTGAGAGAGGCTTTTGAGGCTGTAGAGCAAGAGAAGGAGCTGGAAGAGCTGGAAGAAGTAGGAGAGGGGCCTTAGGAGAAGGCCAAGACAGTGGAAGAAGAGGTGAGTCTTATTTTTCTGGTTGTGTCAGTTTTTGTTGTCTTTTATTCCTTCTGTCCTGACTTCTGTCTATCTGTAGGAGGAAATTCCTGCTGAGGTGATAGCAGAGAGTATTGCGCTGGCTCAAAAACAACAGGAAGACACAAGGGCAGGGCTGACTAGCTCAGAGCTGACCCTGTTTGAGCATCCAGAGGGAGAACACTCTACTGCTGTTCCATTAGCTAAGGAGCAGGCAGGTCAGTCTGCATCAGAACATGTGGAACAGGCTGTGGTGATTCCAGAAGCTGGAGTAGAAGTGGATGCCTCTGCTCCTGAAGTCATGGTAATTTCTCTTCCAATTCTGCTCACATTTTCTGCAATTCTATTTTGTTTTCTACTCCTTTAATCGATGTAGTCTTCTCAGGTAGAAGTGCTCAGATTTTTTAGTGCCCTGTCAGTAGTGACTAGCCCCTTGAAGCCCCCAATTGTTGCTGTAAGTATTCATTACATTTTTGGGCTTTTTCTTTTATGTTTCTGCCTAGTCTTGACTTATGCTTCCTTCTGCAGATGTTTATTCATTCCCTCCCAGGTTCATCTGCCACGGCCTCCTTTGCTGATCCAGAATTGGCAGAATTTGAAGCCATGGACTTAGATACACAACTAGACAGATTGGAGATGCTTAGCTCTCCTGTAGGCAAGGCAAGATCTAAGGCAGTGGAGGAGGCTATAGAGAGGCTGAAGATCTGGCAGTCTACTGAACTAGAGCTAGATGAGGATAGGGAAGCCATTGACCAACTGATGAAGGATCTGGACCTGCTACACAGACAGAACATGGCCCCTAAACCTATACTTGAGATGAGCCTTGGTCTGGCAAGGGATGTGCTCAACCTTCACGACCACTATGAGGATCTCAAGCCACTCATGAAGCCAATTTGGCTGATTTTGTAAAGTAGAAGGCAGAACTGGACCAAATGGTGGCGGGATACAAAGAAGCCAAGGCCACTGCAGACAAGTTGGAGAAGCAGATTGAAGAGCTTCAAAAACAGCTGGCAGAGTGCAGGGAAGTGCAGAACAGGCTCGGGGCTGGATTGAGCTCCAAGACTAAGGCTACCTTCCTTGTGCAGAGCATGGTTACAGCTTCCAGGCCAGCCCTGGAGATTACAGAGGCTTCAATCCATCAGGGGGTGCTGCTTTAGAAGGAACTCTCCATAAAGAAACTTAACTTGCAAGAAACCCTTAGGAAGTTAGGGTTTTGATTTTTTTTAGTATTTATTTATGCTTTCAGTTTTTGCTTTATGATGAACAATTTGCCATGGGGAAGGCCCCATGGCTATTTATTTTAAATAAAGTTTATTATTTTTTGTTGCAATTTTTGGTTTTTAATTTCTTTTGATGAAAATAAACAGAAGTAGTAAAAAAAAACGAAAGGGAAACAAACTTTAAACAACTTAGAGTAAAAATAAATTCTGGATAGAGTTTGAAACAAACAGTTTCAGTGTTGTTCCTTCTCTATCCCAGGATCTGTCTGTCCAGCCTGTGAATCCCACATGGTTGGATAAAACTTCTTTAACCATTTGCCGTTGATTGGGGCAGCATGAATTTCTCCATCTCGATCCTGCAACCTGTATGCCCCCATTCCAAGGATTTGATTGACTATGAAAGGGCCTTCCCATGTAGGTGACCACTTTCTATAACCAGCTATATGTGTTCCAAGGGGCAGAACTGCTTTCCAGACTATCTCTCCCTCTTCAAAACTCTTGTTCTTTACTCTTTTGTTGTAGGCCCTTGATACAGTTTGCTTTCCTGCCAGGAGTTTATTGAGGGTGTCAATTCTGCTTGCATCCAATCCATCCAATTCTAGCAACATGGTTTGAGAGTAATTTTCTCCAACCAGATCATGTTGGTGAGCAATTCTGAGGGACTGAATAGCTATCTCCATAGGCAGAATTGCATCATGGCCATAGGTTAGAGCATAGGGGGTCATGCCAGTTGCTTCTCTCTTTGAAGTTCTATATGCCCACAGAGTTTCTGACAATTTCTCATGCCACTGCTTTGGGTTCTTCTCAAGCATTTTTCTGATAATGTTGATGATTACTTTGTTGTTTGATTCTGCCTGCCCATTGGCTTGAGCATAATAAGGAGTGGATTGAAGCAGTCTGAATTTGAATGCCTTTGCCATATCCAGCATTTCTCCAGATATGAAAGAGGATCCCCTATCAGTTGTGATTGATTCTAGGATGCCAAATCTTTGTATAATCTGCTCTTCTATGAAAGTGATGATCTCTTGAGATGTAGTGGATTTAACAGGCTTGGCCTCTACCCATTTAGTGAAGTAGTCTGTAGCAACAATGATAAAACAGTGCTGCTGGCTATGGCTGCTGGCTGGATAGATCTTGCCAATGAGGTCCATTGCCCATCCTCTAAAGGGTCATGGCTTTACCACTGGATTCATGGGAACTGAAGGAGCCTGCTGGATTGGGCCATGCCTTTGACAAGACTCACACCCCTTGGAATAGTCAATGCAATCTTTCATCATGGTTGGCCAGAAGTAGCCATACCTTCTAATTAACCAGCACATTTTCCTTCCTCCTTGATGAGCTCCACAGATTCCTTCATGAGTTTCCCTCATGACTTTCATGTATTATTTCTTTCCGAGGCACCTTAATAGTATCTCATCCTTGCTTTTTCAGACCAAATCTTCATTCCATATAAGGTAGTTCATAGCCATGATTCTGACTCTCTTTTCAGACGACAAAGTTGGATATTGTAAGTAAGTCATGACAGGATTTCTCCAATTATCTTTAGTGATCATGGCAGAATTGACATCTATCTCCATCCCTCTGGTCAGAACAGATGGTAGGCTTTTCTTCCCTACCTTGATGATTCTTTGCACACAATCTTCAGGCATTTGTATGCCTATTGCTACCTGAGCCAATTCATTGGCTGCAAAGTTTTCTTCCCTTGGGATATGCTCCCAAGTAGCTTCTCTGAATTCTGTTAGAAGATTCCTAGTTGCCACTAAGTAGACGGCTAGAGAAGGACTTAGGCACTTGTATTCCCCAACAATTTGTTTTAGCACAAGCATAGAATCTCCCAAAATTTCAACAAACTGGATTCTTAATTCTACCAGCATTTCTAGGCCAATGATTAGAGCCTCATATTCTGCCCTGTTGTTGGTGCACTGTGAATCCAATTGGAAAGAATAACAGTGTCTGATTCCAAGTGGTTCTTCCAAAACAATTCCTGCCCCAGAAGCTATATCAGTCTTTGATCCATCAAAGTATAGCTTCCAAGGTGTAAGGTGTACTGAATAGATAGGATTGTTCAAGCAGATATGAGCTCTTTTCAATAGATCTGCATTTGCTATATCCAAGGAATCCATGTTTTCAATTTCTTCACCTGGATGGTCTGCTAGGAAGTCTGCCACAACTTGTCCCTTGACAGCTTTCTGGGGAACATATCTGAAGGCAAATTCTGTCAAGGTCAAAGTCCATTTTCCAATTCTACCTCTCAGCATTGGTCTTGTTAGCATGTACTTGATCAAATCCATTTTGGCAATGATGTAGATGGTGTATGGTAGCATGTAGTGTCTGAGTTTCACAGCAGTGAAGTACAAGGCTAGGCAAAGTCTTTCAATTGCAGAATATTTTCTTTCTACTTCTGTCAGTGTCCTGCTCAGATAGTAGACTCCCTGTTCCTTCCCTTCCTTGTTATCTTGAACTAACAGACTCCCAATGGATACCTCTGATGCAGATACATAGAGCTTGAGTGGTATGCCTCTCTTTGGTGGGGACAGAACTGGCAGATTTGAGAGGTAATGCTTGATTTCCTCAAAAGCTTGTTGGTGCTGTTCCTCCCAGTTGAAGGTCTGTTCCTGTTTCAATCTTAACAAAGAGGAGAAAGGCTGGATTTTCCCTGCAGAATTGGATATGAATCTCCTTAGAAAATTAATTTTTCCTAAGAGACTCTACAATTCTTTCTTATTCCTAGGCGGTAGAGCTTCTATGATGGACTTTGCCTTGTTCTTGTCAATTTCTATGCCTCTCTGGTGGACCAAGAATCCTAGGAAATTTCTTGCTTGAACTCCAAAAACACACTTCTTTAGGTTCATTTTTAGTTTATGTTGCCTCATTCTTAGGAATGCCTTCCTTAGATTTGACATGTGGTTTCCCTCCTCTGGGGATTTAATCACCACATCATCGATATACACTAGCAGTGGCATGCTCGCACACTAAAGAAAGTTGACTTGTTGACCAGTCAATGGTTTTTAAGGCAATGGGGAACTTTACCCTTCCATCACAGGAGCAAACACGAAACGGGTGAACATCAATGCACATTGATTCCCACCAATTTTCTTCTATTTTTTATACCCGTCAACAATAAAGGTTGGGTGTGACTGATTCATGTCAAAAAGGAATCAAGGAAAACAAAAGACATTATTCTTAACAACAGAATACTCAAGCCAAGTGAATTGGCCAAACCACCTTTTGAACTGAGCACACCAATTAGTTAATTTGTTGCACAGTTTAATTTCTCACTACATATACTATAGGGTCGGGCCAAAACCCATTGTAATAGTTGAAGCCAGTCAATGAGACCAATTTGAACGGTTTGATATATTTTTATATTAAAAAAATATAATCTTAAAAAGTGTCGAACCAAATCATGCACAATAAAAAATGGTTTAACTTATTTTGTCAGTAAACTAAATCACATATTTTAAGCTTATTGTGTTTTTTTGACACTTAACATTTTCTTATAGGTTAATTAACTAATTTTAGTGTTGTAAATTGTGTCGCAATTTAGTTTTTTCCACACCCTAAGAAACGGAGGTCTTCATAACCTAATAATAGTAATAGTATCATCATATTTGAACAAAAGATAACAATGACCATGACTAACCTTACTAGTAACTATGCCAGTAGTATTGAATATGATCAACTTCATCAAGAGCAGGCAATAACTATTAAGAATACTTCTTTGAAAAGAGCATATAGTAATGATAAGGACAAACCATGGGTTGCTGCTCCTAATAAGAAGAAGAAGAAGGTCAAGTTTTCAGTGAACAAGAATTCAAGTAAGGGCATGGGTCTACTCGAACATACTTATGAGTTTCTTGAAGAATTCAAGCAAGTGATCTTGGAAAAAATGAATGGGGCAATGCTCTAATTGTTGGCATGGAAGAGTTTATTCCGCGCTAGCATAAAGAGAGATTAAGGCAGGTTGTTGCTGCCTCAAGAGCAAATCTCATCCAAGAAGCCCAAGAAATTCATCAAGTGTAAGGAGAAGGACAGGCTCGAGAAATGTAAAACGGGGGTCCCATTGATAGATCCTGTGCTTGAGCAAGAATAGATAACCTTGGGGTGATAGAAGCTGTCAAGCAAGTCAAAGCGCTCCTTTATGGTGACAACTACCTGAAATTACAGTGTTCATAAGCATCATCTAGATGAAGATGATTTAGTTCAAGTTTGGTCATTTCAGGCTATTAACCCCAATTTTAACCATGACAATCTTGATGATGATCTCAATGGTCATCTCGATAATAATTGCAACGATAATGAAGATGATGACAATGATCTTAATGACGATGATAGTTAGCTTCACTTGGATCTTATTCTGGTTCGGAAAGGTGATCTTGTTCTCAAGGAAGAAGGCAACAAAGGAAGAAGTAATAAAAGCAATAAAGGATGAGAAGTTGTAGGTGGTAGCAGCAGTGGGAGCTGCATCCCTGAAAAGTTTGAGAGTAGCAACCCAAAAAAAATTGATAGCTACAGCCCCAAAGTTGGTGAGAAAAGACCAAGGGACTTTTAATCAAGACTATTTTATATAATAAATTTTTGTAAATGTTTTTTAGGATGATCTTTTGTAGCTAAAGCTAGCTAGGTTTGGTATTTGCAATGTAATTGAGGAATTAGCTAGCTAGCTTTGTGTGTAATTGATGAGTTAATGGATCCATATGCTATACGTACAATTTGTAGAATTATTAACTGAATATTAGCAATTGACAATGGAAATGGTAGTCAATCTAATCACCAAACGGGAACTTTGATCACAGTTGATCACATTCGCTCTTTGCTAAAAAATGATTGTGTGAATTAGAAAACACATACTTTAATAGTATTAATTAATTACGTACTGTTTGATTTTTTGCCATAGTTGACGTGAGGAATGTTGTATAATACAAAAGTTTCCTAAGAAACCAAGGTCGACATGCAAACGTATCACCATATTCGGCCAAAAGCTAAGCTATGCTAAGAAGAAGAGAGCTAGGTTTTCCAACAACATCTTGTACTTAGGCTTGAACTTGAAGTTGAAGAAAGAAAGAGAAGAAGAAGAGGGTGGTTATGGTGGCGAAGAATAAGGGCAAGAAGATCAAATTTGAAAAGGACGTGCCTGAAGAATTTAAGAGTTTGATTCTTGAGAGATGAATAAGACGAAGCTGCAAATATTGTTGCATAAGAGTTTGTCCGAGAGTGACATAAAGAGATAACAAGGCAAGTTGTTGCTACCTTGACATCAAACCAAAACAAAGATCTTCCTCAACTCCAATAAGGAGGCTATGGTCAAGGGTAATAGGATCCATAGGATTCCATTGATTGGTTGAGAGCTTGAGGAAGAAGAGATAACCTTGGGGTTGTGGCACATGCCAAACAATCTTATGTGTTGAAATCTACTTGGAACCACATTTTCTGTGATCATCAACTAGACGTAAATGATGTGGTAAACTTTGGTAATTCCAGGTTCATCATAACAACAATGAGATTAACGACAGGTTGGTGATGACAATGGTCAGGTTTACTTTGCTCTTGTTTTGGTCGAAAGATGCAGTTCTTATTAAAAAGGAAGGTGGCACAGAGGGTGCTACTAGTTATGCTAATGGAGGAAGTAGTAGTGTTGGATTTTATTTGCAATCTAATTGAGAAATTAGGTAGAGCAAATTATGCTTAGGAAAATGCGTGTTTTTTTTTCCTCTTCTTAGAAGTAGGAACTTTTACTTTCTTTCTATTCGCAGCTAATGTGTGCATAAATTTTTATTTTTAAGTTTTTGATGAACTACTTTTTTATATGTGTCAAACTGTGATATAGTAGGAATATATCATAATAGTATGCTACATTTGTCCTCATTGCAAAATCGAAAACACGACGAGCGAAGAATATTTCACATTAGGAGTTTTGATTGGCCACAAGAGATAAACAGGAGCAAAATAGTTATGTTGGTTGAGACAATAAGTAACCTTATGGCTCCTTGCATGAGTGCGTTCTACAAGAATCTTTCTCAACAACCTGTGAATTCTTCTAGGTCTGCACCTTGGGGTGTAAATACTTTTACGTTTTCACCTCACCATTTGTTGCACATCCATTTACGACAGGGGATCCTGACTTTTTTTTATTCTTCCTAATTTGCAAACCAATACCACGTTGAATAAATATTTTGTTTACTTAATGAATTGGAATCATTTAAACAAGCAACTAATGAACAATGTAATGCCATTGTTTATTGAAGGGTACTCTAGACACCATGTGAGAAGTTCCACACCACACACATCCCTTTCGCATAAGGAAACAATAATGACATCCTCTCTAATGTTATCCACTCTACCATCTTTTCGATTAGGCCACAAAGGAAAAAAAATTGCTTCCTTTGATGGTGCCTTTTGTTTTAGTTTCTCATAAGCCTATAAGAACGGCTCGTACCCAACCTTGTTTTTTGGTGCTATGCCCGATATGAGGGGCTTAGCCTAGTGTGTTGTGCAAACAATAAGGCCTGGTTTTATTCCCATAGACAGCCCAAACTCGACCCTATGTCATTTAATATCCTTATAGTTGACAATGTTATGACTAGGAATAATTAAGGTTATGAGGGTTATAGAGGAAGGTCTCCTGAATCAATCTTTTTAGATACCTTCTTTTCATCTCATATTCTTTAGACTATTGTTTATGCACATAAAAATTAATGAGACAATTGATATTGAACAATAAACTTGCCCTTTAACTAAGTTCACTACTAAAAAACTGCACTGAAAGCACAAATTCCATTTGTGCTCTTTATGTCAAACAACACGAATAATCGTGCTTTGTGAAGATGGCCACGCTGCAGCCACTTTAAAGTGGATAGTCTTTATAGTAGTTTCCATTGATTATAGAGTACAAATATGTTGCTTTGTGGCCAGTATTTAGAGAACGAATGAAGCCTTTGTGCTTTTATTTTGAGAAGTGACTAAAGTGTTAGATAGATTGATTTGACAGGTGTGAGCTGAGCACAGTTTTAAAATTGTGCTCTAAAAGGACCCGGCCCGAATTCCCCCTTGGAATCTTTGATGAACCATCTCCCTATCCTACACCAGGTATGTGTCGGCCCAAATTACAAAAATACCCTTCTTGCCTTAACTCCAAAACAACTTTAGGGTTTGACTTCTACCTGAAAATCGGCATAGCTTCCTTTCAAAATGGCTCTAAACCTTAAAATCTACCTGCACAGCATAATACAATTTATTTCCCAAGCATTCAGCAAGCACACACTAATTAGCAAAAGTTTCAATGGGCTTTAGGCCCCCTTTACTAACATAAATAAGTCCGCAAAATCCTCTTGACATAACTGAACCTGACAAGCAAATCCTAAACTTGCGATTGCACCTAGGTTAGCCTAAGTTGCCCACGTACCCTTACTGGAAGATCAAGGCACATGTAGTTCTTTCTAGCGGCGAACCGGAAATCCGAGCCGAACCGCATCGAACCAAATCGGAAAAAAACCGAGTTGACCAAAAAGTCAAAAATCGGTCAAAAACCCAACCGGATCGGTTTGGACCGGTTCCGGATCCGATTCTAGGTCTTCAAAAATTGGACCGGGTTGAAGTGAACCGGTCATATTAAAAAAAATATATAATTTCAATATATATTTATATTTAATGCTATATTTTTAATTTCACAAAAAAAAAACTAATATTTATCCAAGTTCAATTTCAAAATATCTCTCTTTTCTAACTTTAATATTTATTTTTATATGAAATTTAATAATTTGTTAATGTTCAAGTAAAAAAATAATATTTCAGTTGAGAATTGTATTAAAAATAATTTTAAAAAAACATTTTTTATAATCCGGTTCAAAATCGAACCGGAATCAGAATCGGACCGAAATCGATTCAACCTGAACCGGACCGTTTTTGAATTTTTTTTATTAAAATCAAACGGAACCAAATCAGATGAATAGTACCAGATCGGTTCTAATTTGAGGCAAAAACCAGTCCAACCCGAACCATGCCCACCCCTAGTTCTTTCTACCATAAATCACAATTAAGATAATACATAAATGTTCAAGGTGGAACCAACAATAAAAATTCTAGAATCATTCTTTACTTAATTTCAATAGGCTATAAACTGAATGTCATGTCCTGAAAAACCTAACTGTTCAATCAGTTTATCATTGTACATCCAAACACATGTGTAACCAAACCTTTTACCTGAAAGTCATACCTACAAGGAGTATATGAGAAATATCATTAAATCCAAAGGCAACTGGGGACAGGGGATCCTGGCCAACCCTGTACAGATAACATGAGTAGGTGTCTGGGGATCCTGGGCAACCACCTGTGTAGACAAGTCGGCCAGGTGGCTGGGGATCCTGGCCAAACCTATACAGATAACATGAGCAGGGTGGTGAAGAATATCATGTTAAATGTACAAAACATATTAGTATTGCATTATTCTCAACATAGTATACCCCAAACATAATCTGTCAATTCCATAGATAATCCGTCAATTCCAAGTATTACACATGTGGAACGGTCCATATGTCCGCAGGCCACATTTTTGTTTCCAAAGGCAACAAATATTTCGTTTCCATAACCTTCCATTCCTCACACTTTTCAACATATATGAAAATAAACATATAACCAAACATTTAAAATCAACTCAACCTAAATCCGCACAATAAAACATAAATATATCATGCTTGGAAAGTAAAAAAGCGATAGAATAATAATTCATAAACAGTTAATAAAACTCTCATTGCATAATACCATTTTAAAACTAACAACCATATCACAAACACCTCCTAACCAATTGGTCATGATTGGGCCGGTGAGGCCCACCATCTTGGTCAATTAGGCCCATGGGGCCCACGACCTCTAATTTCCAGTCCAAAAGTTCCTATAAATCCACAATAGTCCACCAATTATGTCCCAACAGTTTGGTTACTATCCAATGGTTAGATCGTCAACGACCACACGATCAGGCGAAGATCAACGGTTAAAACCTTATATTTGAGGATTCGGAATATCTGAACGTCTAATTCTCAATCCCCTAAAAGTGGCCGGAATTGGGTAAATCACGATCAAAATTATTGGCCAAATTGGGGGTTACAAATCGATCTCTCAAACAACAAAATCAACCATAACCACCAAAACAATCAGGAAGAGCACGAGGAGAGGATCAAAATCCATACTTGGATAGAAGTTAATAGGCTTCGGAGTCGCTGAAAATGGCAACGAAAAACAAGGAAACCGTCGGCCTTTTCCGAGCTCGTAGCAACGGCGTGACTGCCTGGGGTGGTGGGGTCTTGGACCCGGACATGGTTTCCAGTCGGTGCTGGTCATTTTCCGACCGGTCTAGTCATCGGAGGTGGCCAGACAACGACATTGTGTCTTCGGGAAGTCGAAAAGTTGTTGTGCGCCATCCCCTGAACGAGAGAGAGAGAGTGACACGCATTCCTTAAAAAAAAATCCGATTTTACAATATGTATGGTTGTGTCATTGAACAAAACGTCTTAGTTTCAACTCTGATTTGTGTGCACAGTGTGTCTACGAACTCATGACGTCAAGCACTACGCAAAGGAACCAAGAAATTTTCCAAAACTAGCCCCGAGAAAAAAGTCAAATCTAAACTACTAGGAAATCCTAAGGTTAAAGTTGTCGTTTCACTTTAGAATTTGAAAATTAAATTAAATTTAGGGATAGGTTGTTACATGCTCAATAGGTTATATATTTCTTATAAAAAATATAAACACAATTTGAAAGTCGTGCTCATGCCAATTGTTAAATATAAAAAAATTACACTTTCAGCTTTTGCACTAACTTACATTGGGTGGGATGGGGATGTTTTATACGAAATTAAAACCCTAGAAATATTGTTGGCACGCCAATTTTTAATTGCCACATACAAATTATATTGTACTATACCATTCACAACATCAGTTACATACCATTTTATGGAATGTCAATAAAAACCAATAAATTTTAAAAAAAATTATATATAAACTAATAAATAATCTGGAGCAAACAATATAGATTTGAAACCTATGTTTGTACATTAATTTCTTAGCACATAAAAGGTAATAAACAATAAACTAGTATCCCTTTATCGATGCGCAAAATTGCAACCGATCGAATGAAAGTTATAAACGTCCCAACATATATTAACATTATAGTTGGTAATTGCATAAGCCTAACGTAAAAATTTTATAGTTTGTAGCATTATAGTTGGATTCATGCATGAGTTAACAAATACATCATTGAAATAATGTTAATCCCGAAAAACATATACTTTACTGTACATCTTCATCTTCTAAGCCTTGTCAGCAATCCAAATACAATTCACAAGAACACCTACCTAATATTATGTTCGTCATTTGTTACTGGTACAGGCATAGGATAGACAAAGATAGAGTCTTTAGCAAGCCAAAAACATATTCTTTGTTGAACTTATGAATATGTAGAACATTGATGGTAATGTGTAAGTAGTTGTATCTAAAGAGAAGCCCGAATCATAAAAACCAACCATTTATTTAATAAAGCAACTGAGAAACTCTTAGTTGATAGGTACTAAATTGTAATGATAAACATACCACGATTGTGACGATCTGTGAGTAACAAACCATGACACTAATATCCTCAAATCACATATGCAACGACCATATTAAAGACCACAACATTTGTTTTAGCACCAAACGAACAGCAAAACATAATTAACACACAATCAACAATTAATAATTTGGCTGAAACATTTACCATGAAGCATGAGTTAATTTAATAGCTGCAATTACCCTTGGATGCATTGGAGTTCTTTTGAGCCACTCTTTAATATCCTCATAACTTTTCCCTTGCAAATACAGCTCATTCATCATTCTATCCTACAAGGTTTAACAAGGCTAAGTCATTTGGCATCTTAACTGGTTTTCGTTACATAATTATAAGTTGTTTGTGTTGCCAATTAACATAAACAAACAACAAGTCCATGGCGAAAGTAAAAAAAACCCACAAATGCAAGGATCTCTCAGCAATAATACAAAGTTTAAGAACTCAAAAGTCACTATACTCAATGATTTGCATAGAAATTCTTAATCTTGTCACTTGTTTTTATTAGGTGACAAAACAGAACAATTATACTAAGTGTTCAAAATATACTTTTTGTTCACAAATTTCACCAATTTATTAAGCAACCAACCAGATGATAAAATTATCAAATAAAAATTTAAACTTTTTTCTATAAATCTACTTCCTGAAAATATTTACAAAGAGAGAAAGAGAGATTGCAAACCATGAGTTTGTTCCATGGCAAAGTAGAGCAAAGCTCATTAAAGAGCTGGGCTTGGCCCATCTCCACAACCTATCCATCAAACCTTGCATACAATAGAGAGTGCTTCTATAGTGAGTGGAAAGTTATAAGGGGTTTTTTTGAGGGGTATGTAAGAGCCGTTGGATTTCATCCAACGGTGAGTTTTTAAAAGAGGGTGCATGTAGAACCGGGTTGAAATCTGACCCGTTTGGAGACCCAACTTCAGCTGAAGATTTTTCCCTCTCTGTGAAAAACTCAAGAACACAATCCTCTCTTTTTTAATGTAATGCAAATCCACAATTAGAAAGATCCAAAGCTCCCAAACTCTATAATCGCTCCATTGTCATCAGCTCCTTGGGAGGCCTGCGATCTATGGTATCCTCGGTATGATGATTAATGGCTTTTACCTAGCTATTGCCCTGTTTTGATTCTATGATTGAAGTGAAAACCCCTTCTCTTTTTCGTTCAGCAGAAGAGATTCCAGATGAAAGCAAAGTAGCATATCTCTTTTTCGTGCTGCTGCAGTTGTTCCTGGATTTTGGTAGAGATGGAGTCTCCACTACGAAAGAATCCTCTCTAATGTCCACCACATTCTTTGAAGCTGACTGAGTTCGGAGCTCCCGATTGACTTTGAGAGGTAAGTTCACTCTTGCTGGATTGATTTTGTTGGGTTTGATTTGTTTTTTGTGAGGGTGAGAAATTTGTCATTTGTGGCATCAATAATGCGTCATTTGCTCTGCTATCAATAATGCGTCATTTGACTTTGAGAGGTAAGTTCACTCTTGCTGGATTGATTTTGCTGGGTTTGATTTGTTTTTTGTGAGGGTGAGAAATTTGTCATTTGTGGCATCAATAATGCGTCATTTGCTCTGCTATCAATAATGCGTCATTTCCTTATGAATATTCAATATACTTAGTTGATTATTTTTGTTTGGAGGGGGATTGGAAAATTATGAAATGTAGGTAAAAGATCCTAAACTTAGGCTTAATGGCATTAGAAGTAAGCATTTGGAGAGGATATTGGGTGAAGTTCTGTAATTGCTGGTTTGAATTACATTTGAGTTCTTAGTTGAACATGTTGGTTCTAATGTTATTTTTTCCAGATTATTTCACAAGAGATGACGTAACTAGTATTAAATTTTGCTTGTGTTTTGTGTAATCAGAATCCAACAAGCTAGGCTATGCGTGTATTGTGTCAATTTGGGCAATGTTTTGTGTAAGTGGAATGCATTGCTAAGTTGTGATGCAGTAATGATTGATTAATGAATTAACATTTGCTATGCAGTAATATAGAAGTAGATCAATAATATACGTGGATAAAATGTCTGGGGGCTCAGAGAGTGACGACTCTGTAACAGCTAATGGGAGGGTTTACATTCCTGAAGTAAGAAATGAGGAAACACCAGCAGTTGGGATGAAGTTCGACTCGCTTGACCTCGTTTATAATTTCTATAATAGATATGCATTCTTGGCTGGCTTTGGTATTCGACTTCATTCCAGCTTTTGGGGGAAAAATAAGAAAGAGATTCTGAGAAAAGAATTTGTATGTTGCAAACAAGGTGCATACCGGAATGATGAAACTCGGGAGAGAAAAAGACAACGGGGAATAAGTAGATGCAATTGCAAAGCTAAGATTGTGGTTGTGAAGACACATGGGAGCAAGAAGTATACCATCTCTCTTTTTGCAGAGGGACACAATCATAAGATGACACCCTCAGGAAGAATGCATTTACTGAGATCACACCGTCGTATTTCAGATTCTACAAAAGTACTTACAAAACAGTTGGGTTCGGTTAATATTCCCATTAATCAGAAGGTAAGTATTTTCGAGGTGCAATCCGGAGGAATGGATAAAATCGGTTTTATGAAAAAGGATATGTACAATCTTGAATGTAGTGTGAATGAGAAGCTGAGGAACCACGATGTTGAACTAGTGACCGAGTATTTTATGGCTGAACAGAAAAAAAATGAGGCTTTTTATTTCAAGATTGAGGGAGATGGCGATAACAGGTTTAGTCGATGTTTTTGGGCAGATGCAACTTCTAGACGGGCGTACGGGTTTTATGGAGATGTTGTTGTATTCGATACCACATTCAACACGAATAGATACGACTTGACATTTGCACCAATGTTGGGAGTTAATAACCATGGTCAAACAATTGTCCTAGCATGCGCATTTTTGAGCAAGGAAACGACTGAGTCGTTTATTTGGATGTTTGAGGAGTTTAAGAAAGCCATGCCAGGTGGCGAACCTAAAACGATCATCACAGATCAAGATGCGGCAATGAGCAGAGCGATTTCAATAGCCTTCCCGACTACATTTCATCGACTTTGCATATGGCACATCACATCAAAGTTCTCTGTTAAGTTACCACATTCTGCTTATAAGGAGTATTGGGGTGAATTCCAGAAAGCCATATGGGATATGACAATAAGGATGAGTTTGATGCAAAATGGAATATTGTGGTTACAAAGGCTGGTTTGACTGACCATCCATGGCTAAGTTCAATGTTTGATTTAAGGGAATCTTGGGTTCCAGCCTACGCACGACACTTTTTTGCCGCTGGAATGTCAAGCAGCCAAAGAGCTGAATGTTCTCATGGTTTCTTCAAGCAATACATATCAAGGAAAAATTCGTTGATGGATTTCATAATAAGATTTGAGAGGGCACTTTCTCATCAACGTCAAAAAGAGTTAGTTGCTGATCACGTAGATGCATTTGAAGTGGCTCAATGTATTCTACCGATGCCAATGAACAAACAAATGGCTACCTTGTACACAAGGACAATGTTTCAAAAGTTTGAGCAAGAACTAATACAAAGTACAGCATGTTTCCTAGAGCTGAAAACAGAGGATGCTTCTAAAGTTGTCTTTAATGTGAGCGAAAGGAAAAATTGGGAAACAAGAGTGGCAGAAGTCGTATATGTCAAAGATTCTGACCACGCATCGTGTAGCTGCAAAAGATTTGAATTTGTTGGAATTATTTGCAAGCACATCCTAGCATTGTTCAGAAGGGACCAGATTGAATATATGCCCGATAAATACATTTTGAAGAGGTGGAAGAAAACTGCGAAATTTGGATTGGTGTCAGATGCAAATGGCAACGAAATTAAAGACTCTGCAGATCCTGGTCTTTTAATAAAGCGGAGTACAATGTCCCGA